CGTGCGCAATTTAGTATTTGGGGCCACTTCTTGTGACATTCAACCTTCAACCACAAATCAGTCGTGGATTGAAGAATTGAGATAAGCCTGCAATTTGCCAGGACATTATCAAAACCAAATCAATTCTTTACCTGAAGATTGAAGACCATGAACTTTGGATATGCCTAAACCAAGGCAAAATGAATGTTTAATTAACCATCAATATACCTAACCCATGCCAGGCAAAAGGAATCAAATAGAAAGTCAACGACTAACTCTAAGAGCATGTCCAGCGTTAGCATCAAACCGGGTAGGAGGCCCCCCAGTCAAGCCCAGTACGCCTCCAGCGCGAGAGAAGAAGCCCGGGCAAGCCCTGGGTCCCACCAACCTGGGCAAGCCCACAAGCAAATCCTACCTGGGCTTCAGCCCGAAGGCGCTGATGTCAGTGTGATGTCATGCTGATGTCAGTGTGATGTCATGCTGACGTCAATGAGCCAAAAAAAATTCAAAAAAAAAAAAAAATCAAATTTTTTATAAAAAAAATACCAAAAAATTATGGATGTTTTCCCAATAAATACATAACAATTTATTCACTTTCCACACCAAATCTTCATACAAACTCTTCTCTTTCCAATATTTTTTACTTTCCACTCACATTTTTCTACTACTTTCCAATAAAGAAAGCATTAAATAATATGACTATTTATTAAAAATATTTGCACATCACAACAAAGATTAATTAAAAACAAACCTTCATTTATTGCAAACAACACACAAAATAAACCATAATTAAAATCTTATCCGAAAATTTAATTCAAAAATTTAATCTGAAATTTTAGGTGATAAATTTATAATACATAGTGACACGTGGCAACCGAAAATATTATATAAAAAGCTTATCAAAATTAATGGTTTAAAGTATAAAAAAAATAGAAAATAAAGTACAATGAATAGTATTTGCCCTTGCCCTAGCCTTCCAAGGGTGGAGCCAACTAAGGCAAGGCTGCCACTATTCACGTGAATAGTGGCAGCCCTTGCCTTGCCTTAGCCTTGCCTTTGCCTTTATGGGTGGCCGCATTATTGTTCAAATTTTAAACTTCAAATTCATTTTTCTCATTATTCTTTTCCATTTTCTAAATCTTCGTCTTCCCATTAGTCGGATAAGGTTGCCATATTTGAGTAAATGTTTTGGCCAAATCTAGCGGCCATCAGATTCAATCATATGACTACAAACCATCATCAACAGATAAAGGCATAATCAAGAGCCAAATACCTTGGAGCAGAACTAACCTTGTTCTTGTTCATGATCTGCATTCTGCCCTGAAAACATGGTTGTGCAAAACCTAGCTAAATGAATCAGCGCAAAGACTGCAGCAATAGAAAACCATGAAACACTCAAGTAGGATGAAGTTGAACCTAAATGACTGCATAGTGTGGGGCAACATAATCCCATGTACACCACACTCAGGACAGGAACCTCCACGGCATTATGCATGAGCTGCTCCTATTCAAAGGCACTGCGCTGATGATGCATCCATGCTCCGGTCTGGATAATAGAGAACACAACATCCTTCAGAATAAACACTCATCAGGGGACCTGCACTATGCAACCGGTAAGCCCAACTGTTCAAATTAGAATGTATCTCTCTTGTGAACAAAGATAGACTAGCACCTGCTTTACAATCAATCAAACAGGAAGCACACAAGTTTTCTTTAATGTGAAGCAATAATTACTTTTAAAACCTAAGATTAAGTAAAATGGACAAGAAAGGAATAGCGAGTACAGAAAACTGTCACTGAGCTTTCTCTAACCATTGAATGAGATATATTGCTTCACATATGCTTATTGCCCCTGCAGTTAAATATGCCTTCATGCTATCTGCCATGTAAATGTACAAGCCAGGGTAAAATTAATAAAACCCTTATTGCAGAAGTGCCTGTAAATCTAAATTAATCAGATGAGAGTGAAGATATGCAGAAATAATGAAATTACAGAGCATGAACAATTGATTCTTCGACAAAGATGGCGATGATTTAGCAAGCATCTAGGCACACACGGACATGATATGTGTATGCATAAATATTTTACACAGGTCCGGATGTAAGGGACAGAAGAAGTTAGATGCATAAATACTATTCATTACATTTACAACCAGTACTTGATGCTGATATTTACATAACAGTACAAACTTTCAGCAAAAAATGTACGATTTAAATTCGTGACTTTTGATCACTTATAAATCTCTTCCACCATAACGCCTCTGCCGCTGCTGAAAGGAAATCAAGGCCTCAACAAACTCAGCTTTCCCAAAATCAGGCCAAAGAGCTGATACAAAGAAAAATTCCGTGTAGGCCAACTGCCACAACAAGAAGTTGCTAACTCTGAGTTCTCCACTGGTTCTTATTAGTAGATCAGGGTATGGAAACTCAGTACAGTTAGTTTCCAGTTCTTGTTCAATGAGGCTTTCATTGATACCGTCAACTTGAATAAGGCCATCTTTCACCTTCTGAGAAATACTTTTACATGCTTGCACAATATCATACTTTCCACTGTAGCTCACTGCCACAACAATGTGGAGTCTAAAGTTGCCTTTCGTTCTATCCTCTGCATCACTTATCAGTTTCTGTAAAGAGTTAGGGAGCTTTGACACATCCCCAATGACCGATATTCGAATACCATCCCTGTCAAAACAAAAAGGTAATAATCAGATGTTTTGCAATAACATTGACATTGAGTCTGATGAGAGACAAAAAGAAAGACAAATTAATATTCACATCCCACAACAACCACTCATCAAAATCTGAAACAATTCTTTCCTAGCTGGCCAATTTTCAGAAAATATATCCATCAACTATTAACATCTACACCAAGAGAATATACAAATAGCAGCACCAGAACCAGTTCGAATGAGGAGTTTTAGGTTACAATTTACCATGTAGAAATGCACCACTGACCAAAGAAAATGTGCAAAAGAAGTCTTTAGAGCTAATACTTACAACTGGCTGCAATCCCCTAGGAAGTAAAAATGGTTTCGAAGCTCTGTAGGGAGCCAAGTCCTCCTCTGTGGTTGAATAAGTGACCAAAAATGGCACAAACTTTCCAATTCCACCACAATCTAACAAAACTTATGCAGCTTGCTCTTCCACATTAGAGAAAAAAATTCCCTTTACAACATACAAGAGCAGAAATATAAAGAATTTAAACAAGCAACAATTAATTTGAACATAAATGTGCTACCTTGCAAAACTGTCGATTTCTGAGCTTGTCATCTTCTCGAACAAATTCATCAAAAAATCAACCTCCACCTACACTATAACCAAACCAAATCATTACATAGTTCCACGAAAAAAAAAAATTTAAATCACTTTTTCAGCTTTTTCGAACTATAGAAAGCACTCTTTTTTTTGCTTTTGGACGACTGACCTGGGGCCGAACCCAATTATCATACGAAAACGCAAAAACAGTAAGAACCCTAATCCCCCATTTCCAGCACAGCTCAACGAGCTCTCTCAACGACCGAGCACCAGCCTCGTGACCCGACCCAGCCGGCAACCCTCTCCTCCTCTCCCACCTCACGTTACCGTCCATGATCACCGCCACGTGCCTCGGCATCAGCTCTCGCCGGAGACCTGCCGGCAAAGGCTCGCCGTCTGGCGGGAAGTCTCCGCGAGGGGCAAATCGGTTATTTGATAACACTCTGTCCTCTTCCTTGAGAACCACGCCAGCTGTAGTTGCGCGAGGAAGAGAGAGTGAGCTTGAGAGGCGTGGAAGTGATTGGACTGTGGGTGTTTGGAAGCGCGAGGGTCTGGGTTTGAAGGGAGTGATCAGAGCGTTATCGAATGAAATAGGGAAGCGTAGGGAAAGCATTATCCGGGTTGGGGATTTGATTTAAACTGTGAAGTTCTTGTTCTGCTGCTGCTGCTTCGGCTATGTAGGTCGGCGCCTCAGTGGCTTTGACCGTTCAGGCCTTAGAGACACTCGTACACATATTTTCAGAAGCCACAATTGGAGCCAATATTATGCGACCACCAAAAAGACAATGCAGGCGCGTTTAAAGTATCGAAAATATTTGGTGTGACACAAACCTGGAGGTGGATCAATCCACCCTAACCAATCTAAGAGCACTTCCACCCATTTGTCATGGCAAAGTGCAAGAGCAAGACAAGGGTTGTTACTATTTATGTGAATAGTTGCAGCCCTTGCAAAAGGCTTGTGGTGTTTCCATCCATTGTCATGGCAACTTAAGGGTAATCATTATTCACATGAGATATGATGAGAGGAATTTGTATAGAGTTTTGGTGTGGAAAGTGAAGAATATAACTAAGTATTTATTTAAAAAAAATCTGAAATTTTTAGTATTTTGTTTTGATTTTTTTCATTGATGACGTCAGCAAACCCAAGCTGTTCTTGCCTTTGGGCTGGCATGGTTTGGTGGAACCCATGTGCTACTAGGGTTGTAGATGCCCGGGAACTACAAATTGGGGCTTGGGCCCTCTGTTGCCTGGGCTGGGGGGCACCGTTGGAAGTGCCCTAACTGACTGATTTGAGCTGCCGGTTTGATTCAGTATTAAAGGGTTAGGGCCCGTTTGGTATCCTACTTAAAAATTGAAACTCAAAAACAATGATTCTTTCTAAAAATATAGTTTTCAAATACTCATTTTTAAGATCTAAAAACTTATTTGGTATCCAACTTTAAAACTATTTTTAAATCTTAAAATTTTGAATTAATAAAAATTAAAAAACAAAAAAGGTTTTTATCACAAATGGTCCTTTAGGTTTGCAAAATTATCACCTTTTGTCCCTAACGTTTTTTTGTGACACCAATGGTCCCTAAGGTTATCCTCCACACATCAAAATAGTCCATGCCGTTAGCTTCCATCAAATTTTCTGTTAAATGGCTAACGTGGCACGTGTGTAGAGCCCACACATCCAATAGTATACATCCATGTGGCTTTAAATAAAATATATTATATTTTAAATATTTTAAAATTTTTTTTTTGAAAAAAAAGAGAGAAGAAGACCAGTACCTCTGCCAGCGCCTCATACCCTCGCAAGACCCACTCTTTGCCTCTCTCTCCCTCCTCTTCCTCCCTTCTCTCTCCCTCTCTCCCTCATCTTCCTTGATCTTCCTTGACTTCTCGAGCTTTCCCTTCTCTCTCTCCCTGATCCAAAAACCCAACTCAATGTTTATGGTATGACTCTGTAATTGTACCAGCCACCAGGTTTGCTATTTTGTAAATCTTATAATTGGATCGCTTCATCTTCACTATTGGGTCTCATCCCATATCTTCTTTTTTTTCTTCGAACTTTTAAGATTTGGGTTTCATTGATTTGCAGGTTTTGGTTAAACAAAAAAGGACCCAAGTGTTTATTTCATTGGATTATCATGTGAGGGACTATGGAGTTGGGAATTACTACCACTGAGCTCATATTCACAGTGACCCACATAGAGAATTTGTGTTTTGAAGCTTAGATTTGGCCATGGAGAAACTTCCTGATGCAGAAACTACATCAAGCTATGGTAGCCTGTAAAAATCAAGGAAGATGAGGGAGAAAGAGAGAAGGGAGGAAGAGGAGGGAGAGAAGGCAAAGGTGCTGGTAGAGGGAGAACGCAGATGGTACAGCTTTTCTTGGTTTTTTTTTTTTTTTTTGAATTTTAAGTTTTAATATATTTTATTTAAAGCCACATGGATGTGTGGGCTCCACACACGTGCCACATCAGCCATTTAACAGAAAATTTGATGAAAGCTAACAGCAAAGGCCATTTTGATGTGTGGAGGGTAACTTTAGGGACCATTGGTGTCACAAAAAAAACGTTAGGGACGAAAGGTGATAATTTTGCAAACCTAAGGGACTATTTGTGATAAAAAGCCAAAACAAAAATCATGGGCGAGAGAATATCGGTAGTGCCATCATCGCTAGTCTCGCGCGTCATTGCTCTCCTTCTCGTGCTCTCTCTTAACGTCTCGTCGTTCGATAAGGCCACCTTGAAATCAAATGCTTCGTTTCGCTCTGCAAATCCTAGCCTAATGAACATGCGTTTTTCGGTGCCGTCCTTGATCTTGAGCACGAAGTATCGTGAGAGTCAAGCACAGTCTCACGCTAGCTCGGGTGGATGAAGCAGGCAGCAAAAAGCTTGCTGGAGTTCAGATCCTCCAATCGAATCTCGCACCGATACCCGAAAATCAACCCGACCAGATCTTATAAAACCAGTGTTGAGAGAGAGAGAGAGAGAGAGAGAGAGAGAGAGGCACACTAGTGTTGGAGAAAAAAAAAAACTAAAAAAACAGATATTTTGTAATCTTAAAAATTGGGTTGTTTTTTAGTTTGAGTTTTCAAAAATAGGCCTATCAAACAAATTTTTTTTAAAAACTCAAATTATGTTTTTGAGTTTATAAAGATGGATTCAAGCCCAATACCAAACGCCCCCTTAATTTCAATTTAGTACCTTGAATTTTCAATATGTTTGTCCTTACACTCACAATTTTAACAATTATGTACTTTAATATTATTAATTTTTTGAAATTTGATTACGCCATTAATTTGACCGCCAAATTTTTTGTTAATTGGCTACATGAGTCGCGATAGGCCTGGTTCCACCTTTTCGCTTCTTTTGATGCCATTTCAAGGGTATTTTCAGATAATTGATGTCTTCCCGCCCAAACCCATCCAACACAAAAAAAATCCCACCAAACCCATTTGACATAAATTGCATGAAAATACCCTTCAATTGACATTGAAAGAAGCGAATAAGAGGGACATAAGCCTGTCACGTAGGCGATTAACCAAACTGTTACTAGTGAAGTTAACACTGGAACCAAATTACAAAACATTAATAAGATTATGATACATAATTGTTAAAATTGAGAGTGTATGGGCAAACATGCCTTAAGATTGAATGTCTGAGGAACTAAATTGAAATTAACCCCATTTAAATTACAAACAAAGTTAAACAATTAAAAATCGAATCATATCGGAATGATTTGGTTTGGTTGTAGTTTTGAATTTTGTAAATCGGCATAACTCGAATTTGATTGGGCATTCATTTATGCTAAAGTTCAACTTTAAAACATGTGGTTTTGAACACAAGCGATAATCTAAACTATAAGGCCTCGTTTGGTTCGTAGAAAAGATTTGATGGGAAATAATTTTTCATGTCTTTCCCAAGGGATGGGAAATGGAAGATTCATTTCCCATGTTTGATAATCATGGGAAAGTATCCAGGAAATACCACTTTATTTCCTTTCTCATGTTTGGTTTGTGTAGGAGGAATGTAGATTCCAATTATACCCATATGAAATCAAATTAAAAAAATGCATTTAATGCTATATTGTAATTTTAGATTGTTAATGGGGGACAACATGATTATGAAAAATGTGCATTTAATGTTGGCTCATTTTCCCGAATTTTCCCATAATGAGTAAAACAAAGCCCAAGCGGGGACAAGAGCTTCACTTTCCCTATACTTTCCCACATGCCAGGCACCCATTTACCATGCTTGGACTTACCAAACATGGAAAAACAATTGATTTCTCATCCCCAAGCCTCCTTTCCCTTGAATCAAATGGGGCCTAAAGGAAGGAGAGTTTCTCACACACGCATCACCAAGATGCCATGCAGATTCGAACTTGAAATCAATGATTGCAAATCAAGATCCTTTTCCACTTAGCTAGACCCATTGGCACTTTAGAACATGCCAGTTAAACAAATTAGCGGAATACACTATTAAGTCAAAACTAATATCAATATTATCTCAAATTTAACCACAAAAATTCAATACATTATACAAGGCCCAAATTTCCCATTCATGTGTAACTCAGAAAGCCTCAGTACAATTAATATTGAATCACTCACTCTTACTTCATGATCATAACTTGTATCAAATTGAGGTATTCATAAACTAATTTCACCCCCCACATCCATATGGTCAATACACTAGTACTATTCTTAACGTTCTCCTTAAACCTGACCCTAACCCTAATTTCTTATCAACATCATCACAATCACTATCATACTCATCCTCTCTACTATCACCATTTAGTAGGTCATTGTCATTATTACCATCTTTGATATCATATCACCATCACTTCCTCCTCCTTCCTCCCCTTCCTATATTTTTACCATCTAGCGAAATTATGAAATGGGTTCTCGGGGACACTCTTTTTTCTCCAAACACAATCTATGGGTAATGTTTCTTGATGATGTACGAAGGAACCAATAGAACATGTAAGCAAAAGCTTATTTCTTTTTTTTTCTTTTTTTTCTCGTTTTGACATATAATTATAATTATTCACTTGTCTAATTCTTTTTTCTTTTATGTATATTGTGTTGCCATGCTATGCTCCGTTAATTAAAAAAATGGTTCCTGAAGATGACCATTTTAAGGAAAAATGGTCAGAGATACTCTTTTGGGCGGTCATTATTGAGTCCCAAATATATAACCAGAACGTACAGAATATATTTCTTGGAATAATGCCAAACAGTAGAGGAATGACAGAATAGATTCAGCCTCATGTCATGTTCCAGAAAATGAGCCTTCTCTTAATGGGAGAAATGTTCCCATAATCTCTTTCTCATAAATCTTGAACGAGTTTGTATATTTTTTTGCTCAAACTAACACGTAATTGACTGAAAAATAAAATATCTGCAATGCCCCATTGATGTTATGATGTTTCCAAAATTGATTGCAAATATTTTTCTCATGAGAGGTATTAAGGCGTAGGAAGGAGCATCGGTCCACCATGAGGCATTGGGTCTTTTGTCTACAAAATAAAAACCCCAATAACAAATGGGCATAGTCAACGAGTTCATCAGCACATGTTTGGGCTCCTCAGATACGCCCGGCTAAATTTTCATTCCCAAAGTTATTTATTAACCAAAGAAACTCACTACATATAAATTTCTAATTTCAACTTATCGAACTACCACCGGTTTGATTCTGATGAGGATACGTAGGCAATCTAGAGGTTCAATCTAGATGCAACCACATCACCAAATCAAATCCCATGTCTAATTGATTGTCTTCAGGGGAGGAACATGTAAAGGTGTATAATTTGGTCTCACTACAATAAAATTTCACACTATGTACTGATAGTTTTCCAGCTCATTTTATTAAGTTCGACACTAGTTAGAAAAATGATACAAACAAAAATGTTAAAGTCGCACATAGTGTGAGTCATTAAAAAAATGTCTCATTCGGAAAACAAGAAGAAAAGGAAACAAGTGAAACAATAAATTAAACATATGCGGGAGAGGCTCGACTAGTTGTAAATTAATTAAGAGCCAGCAGATTTCCTATTAGGGGATAGATTTCTGGCCACAACTCAGTTACAGTTGTCAGCAATTAAGTGAGGAACAACTTTCCGTTTCGAGTTTAAACTACCATTTACCCCAATTGATGTTTAAATTTCTTTGTGAATCTGCTATTCAGGACGTTTTTATTTTAATTTTATTTTCTGCTCTAAAATGAGGGAATGGCGAATGGATTCAACACAAAGAGTTGACTTCGAGCATTTCAAGTGGATCTGATTGACCTCTTGGATGGAGATGATGATGATTAAATACCTTGTTTGCTGTGATTTAGGATTATCCCCTAATTTTAAATGTTATTTTAAATAAGTTACCATATTGTTCCTAAAAAAGAAAGAAAGATTAAATAAGTTACCATGGACCAACTTATTCCATTTGCAAGATGCAATGCATCGGACGCTCACAATCAAACCTGTCAACTTTGCCTTCGTACCGAAGTCCACGTGTTCGTTTCACGGTCAGTTCAATTATCTTAGAAGGTTAATTAACCTTATTTCGAGAAAAAGGACGAAAGTTAATTAATTGGTCAAAGAAGAGAGGTCTCGCAAATCCACTAGTTCATATTTCATTAATATCTTACCCCCATAAAATGAAGCATAACAAAGGAAAAAAGAGGAAGTTCAATCTCCTCAAAACTTGGCTAAAATTTATTGCAACATAACATACCATTTTGTAGTGTTTATCTCTCTCCTCACATGACGAGTCACGTGTGGAGAGAGATATACAGGAAAAAATGTACACCCGATTACGTGTCACTCTCTCTTCGAAATCCAAACTAACCATGCATGCCTGAAATGATCTTTTGTAATTAAAATTTTCATGAAGGAATGATCAGCTTTAATCATCAAGATCTAAAGTTTTGAAAGCCATAAATTTGTCCATGGTCAAATGAATCCAAGGCATTAGTTTGAATTTTGAAATATCGAGTTTATGAGAGGTTTATACTAACATAATAATTTTGCAATAAAGATTATTTGAGTGTAATCAAAACTGACACACACACTCATGCTCTATTCAAATCTTAGTTTATCATGCCTGCATCTTCCTAAATAGCACACGCATCAAACACCAAAGGAAGGGTTATAAGCCAGATGCTGAATTAATTTGAAAAAAAAATATAAGAGTGCTGCTATTTCCACCCCTGTCATATTTCCCCACCCACCTTATCTTCAAAATTTTAGAGACAAATTTACCCATTTGTAAAATGACTTTTAAGGACTTAGGGCAAAAACATGTTTCACCCATTAAGAATTAAAAAAACTGAAAAATAAAATAAAAAGGAAAATTAAAATTAAAATTAAAAAAAAAAAACCTAACGCATTTTTGTTTTGCACTCTTGAGTCAGCCGTCACAACCTCCTCTGTTGCCTTCTCAATCTCATCTCATCCACTTCATTGGTTGGAAGATAAATTTTGAATCTTCATAAAAGTAATTGGCAGTCTATATTCCCATTATATTACATATACCTAAACAGTGTTTGCCTTTTTTTGAACGATATTTTCATTCTATCTGTATGGGCTTTTTGCTTCAAACATGTTGCTTTCATGGTGGATTACTGGGCAAGTGAGTTGTTCAAGTTTGTATGGGAAAAAAGAAGAAGCAAAAATTCAGCAGCCACCCACCCAACTACAACGCTGAAATTTTAAAGAACAGAAAGAGACCTTTCAATTTGGAAAAAAAAAAAAAACCACCTCTCAAGATTTTCCGAAGATGAAGGAACCAACTTGCTTCATGGTGGAAGATTGAATGAGCATTGAATAGTCGGGGCAGGGGAGGAGAGAATGAAGAGTAGAAAGAATGAGAAAAAAGAAAAAGAAAAAATAGAATTAATAATTAAAGGGTATTTTAAGAATAATGGTGGGTGGAAAGATAGGATTGTGTTTTTTTAAATTTATATGGTGAGTGGGAAAATAGAACAGATGGGTGGAAATAGCAGCACTTCAAAATAATTACCCAATCAAATACATGTACAAACACATCGACTATTTTTATTCAACATTTTCGTAACAATACAAAAGATCTGTGGATGGAAATACAAAAAATATAAATAAATAAAAACCTAGGATCTAATCAAACTCAAATCACGCACTGTGTCGGGCCGACCCGGTGTGAGCGGGGATTAGTCTGGATTGTGATTAAGGCTTAAATGTGCCACCCATAATTGGGGCCCATCCAGGACCACCTCGCGGTTCAGACAAAAAAAAAAAATCACACATGTTGTTAATCTCTCAAAAACATAACCAAATCATAAGCTAGAAGGGTAAGAAATAATATACAATTATGAACCGATCAACACACTGTGTACTACAGGAATTAAAATAAAAAACAACAACAGCAAACAACAATAAATCTAAAGCTTAAGAGACAAATCTAGGCCAGCAGCATCGGTTTCGGATGTTGGAGGCTCGCGGCAAATAAGATCACTAAGGATTGGCCTGTTTATTCCAAAATTCGAACTCGGACCACCAAAGTTGCGAACATCACCGATTTCTTGATCAAACCTTGGAGAGCTGCTAGTTCCTGGAAGCCCTAATATTCCACGGGGAGCATTAGCATGAAGGCCCTCCAGGTTGAGCCTATAAATAGTGGATTGGAAGTTCAAGAGGCCTCCAGCCCTAGATGACCATGCCCCAGAACCATGGCCAAATAGCCCGAAGCTGGGGTTTGAGGACCATGGATAAGAGGGCTTGTGAATCATGGAATCCATCCTTACCCCAAGAGATCTATTGAAAGATCCATGGAGAGAGGGTGATAAGAGACTTGAATATGGGTTGTAATAAGAAAATGGTGAATGTCCCAAGACAGCTCCCATATTTTCAAGTTCTCCTTGCCGCCTTTTGGCCAACGCGCGCTCTTGTTTGTGAGCGTTTTGATGCCCTCCCAATGCTTGGGAAGTAGAGAACTCCCTCTTGCAAAAGTTGCATGTGAAAACCCTAGGTTGAGATCTTTTGTCATCACCACCACGTGGGTTTTCATCTGTGGTTTCGTTGGGTTGAGAGTACCATGAGACCGGGTTTGATGAGTCTGGGTTGGAAGAACCCATGTTGGAAGGGTTGAACAAGCTGAGTTCAAGCCTCTCGACGACAACGACCCTAATCCACAAGCAAGGTCGTCGTTGCAAAGCTTTAAATCAAGTCGGAGCCGAGAACTTGGTGATGGCGACGATGATGATTTGATGGCTGGTGGTGGCGGTGGTTGTTGTGGGGGTTGTTGAGTATCATCGTCATCAGAATCATCAATGACAATATTCTCTTTCAATTTCATCTTCATTTTCTGGTCAAGATTTTCAGGGCCATCTTTTTGTGTTGGTGGTGGGCCATCCGAGGTGACTGAGATGTTAGAAGCCTCAGAAGTAGGAAAAAAACTTGCCTGCACCGGGGATAGGACTGTAGTCCTATCCCCCTCCAATCGCAGCCTGCCACGTGTCCAACTTTGTCAGAAGTAACGCTTAGACGTTTTACTCTCGATTCTTCTGCCATCCCGATCATAGAAATTTTGGGTTTGATGAAAAGATTTGGGCCATCAACTCCTTTTTATTAAGTGTTTGAATTAATGCCTTATTGTTCATGTTTGGAAAGAAATCTCATTTTGTTATTGTAATATGCACTATAATAGCAAAGGATTAAAGCGATGAGTAGGCTTTTCATGAGATTTGGCTTTATGGCCAAGCTTCCCCCCACAATAATTATATCATTTACTCCATAATTTGCAAGTACCATATAATTCCGACTAATTTATTTAGATATACTTGTCAATCTTCTATTCTGAGTTTTCATATAAGTGGCAATCAGTGCATCGACTTTTTAAGTAGCTTTATAATTGAAGACTAAAATTTGATATAGGAAAGCCTGAAATTAGTTTATGAATACCTCAATTTGGTGAATGATAATTTTGAATCGAGAAATTAGATTTCGGGGAAAATCGTGTTATTTTCAAACACAAAAATAGTTGACAAATCTCATCGAAAAATAGTTTGACAAAACATGGAAAACGACAGTCTCTTGATCCTCTCGTCTTCCTTTGTCAATTTGTTCCCTCTTTTATTTCGACCTTTTTTTTTTTTAGGTGAGACCCAAGGGTATCCACCGCCGACAACAGTGACTAATTCCTTTTATTTCGACCTTTTTGGGCATTCGTGTCCCAAGTGCTTCGTTTTGTAATTTAATTTTCCGCATTAAAAAAAGAAAAAAAGACAGTCTCTCAATCCCCTGGTATGACATGACAGTCGTGCCAACAAACCAAGCGGCAGATAGTGAGACACGTCTTCTCCCGCCACGCTCTAATTCTGTAAGTTCGGATATACCCTTATATTTTAATACAATTTCCACATCGTTCTCCTCCCTGGTTGTCTGTTCGAAAGTGTAAAAGCTTTCAAAACTACGGACGCCAATATCAAAATATGGAGGATACTTTAGTAAATTCAACTCTCTCCCGTCTTTCGAAGTTAAAGTCGGCTTCTGTCCCTTCGCTTCGCCCCCAACTTCTCGCTCGCTCTCTCTCTCTCTCTCTCAATACTCTCTGTTCCAGTGCTCGTTCCTCTGGTCCCCTTTTTTCCACCCCAGTATCCTTAACTTCCGAAAATGCCCCCACAAACTAGAAGAATGGCGTTCCCGAAGGTGGTTATTGAGAGAGAAACGGACTCTGAGCAAAGCTCATCCGAAGAAGACGAAGCAGACGTAGAACAAGAGGAAGAGGAACTGTTGGAGAGCGAAAAGGAAGGGAAAGTCGAAGAGGCTTTGGATGAAAAGAAGAAAGGGAAATCACCTATTACGATTAGTCTGAAGAAAGTTTGCAAAGTAAGGTCCTTTAACATTTTCTACTTCCGTATTGGGTTTTGGGGTTTTGGGTTTGTTTTGAATTTTTTTTTTTGGTGGTTCATTTAGGTGTGCAAAAAGCCTGGACATGAAGCTGGTTTCAAAGGGGCTACTTACATTGATTGCCCAATGAAACCTTGCTTTCTTTGTAAAATGCCTGGTAATAACTGCTAGAAATTTGTTACTTTATTGGGCTGGTCTTGCCTTTTTTTTTTTTTTTTTTTTTTTCCCTCTTTTAAAGTTTAATTCTTTGAATTTCTATGTGGGTTTTGTGAATTAAAGGCCACACTACAGTGGCATGCCCACACCGAGTGGCTACCGAGTATGGGGTCGTCCCAGCACCCCATAAAAGTACCCGGAACGCGTTGGAGTATATGTTTGAACGCCAGATTAGACCTCGTGTTCCTCCAGTAAGCCTCAAGTCAACTATCTGCTTGTGTTTTGTGTTAGCTGAGATTTTATTGGTTTTATAGTTGCAGCATATGGATATGATCCGGAAACTGTGTAGTTTTAATTTTGTTGGATACCGCATTGTCTCTGAAGCATTTGGTGTTACTAGCTTGGTTGAATCCATGACAAGGAACTCTTGGTGCTTTCTTATTGGTTTCGCTTTTGAAATTATTACTATCATGTGAATCAAACGCAAGTGAGCATGTAATGTTTTGGTGAAATTATGTTTTTGCATTTGTTTTCATGGAAACTAATTGTATGGCAAAGTTTGTATAATTTAACACTATAGTGAATTATTCGATTTTGGTGCTTGGTTATTGAAATTTGATGTTAATAGTGTTTCGAATTAGCCATGATGCCCCCCACCACCCCCCCCTAAACAGTGTATATTTAATTTTTTATTGCAACTTGAAGTGGTTGTTATCTGTTTTGCACATATTTTCCTGGTTTCTTGGCATTGTTTCTGTGTATAAAATTTATGCATTTAGAGACTAAATTCCAAGATGAGTAATTTTGTTATTGTTATAGATCCTTGATGATTTTCAGGATCCTCATAAAGTTCTACCATTGATTTGTATATATTTTATTTCTGGGATACTATACTGTCTTGTTTTGGGCATTCTCTGTTGCCATTGGTATATTTGTTATAGTTTCTATTTTCTTCTTATAGATCAAGCCAGCATATGTGATCCCAGATCAAGTAAGTTGTGCAGTTATCAGATATCACAGTAGACGGGTAACTAGCTTGGAGTTCCATCCAACAAAAAATAACATCCTTTTATCTGGGGATAAGGTAAGTCTCGCATATAGTTTTCATTGTGACTTGATTTAGGTTTATTTTACTCAAGAGTGTGATTGGTTGATGATGGTTAACCTTGGCACTCCCTCCCTCTATCTTTCTGTCCTTCTTCTTGCTTTGTTGTAAAGAAAGGACAACTTGGAGTCTGGGATTTTGTCAAAGTACACGAAAAGATTGTTTATGGAAATGTACACTCATGTATACTCAACAACATGAAGTGAGTTCTCTACCTGGATATGAATTTATATATGCACTTTTATAAATGTAGAATATCTGTTTGCATGCACATGCATGTACTAATTTATGTTGATTTTATTGTTTACTTGTTCAAAAATTTTGCATTAAAATTCTTGTAGGTTTAAACCCGCAAGTGATGATACAGTCTATGCTGCATCCTCAGATGGAACCATTAGTTGCACTGATTTGGAGACTGGAATTTCAGTATCTCTGATGAACCTTAACCCTGATGGATGGCAGGTAATCATTTTTTAAACTCTTTTCTCGCTGTTAATGATGTACGTCAAGGAGGAGCGTCTGAGCTTCTATAACCTGGTGTTTTTTGAAATCCAAAAAAGTTTGAAGGATGCCTACCTTAGTTAATAGTTTCGATATAAATACATAACTTTGTTTTAACTCGAACTGTCGCATCCTTGTTTCTGTTGCCCAATTTGAAAAGTTTGTTGTACCAATGTTCATCTTAGTCTTATCTACCTTAGCTGCAATGATCATTATTATTATTATTATTTAGGAGTAGTAGTAGGAGTAATATCATTATTTTTATTATTATCAGTATTGCGACAGTTTATTTTTCTTATTCAGACTACAAGGACAATAGAAAATATTGAGGTCTAGCTTGTGTTTGGTGAACATTGGAGGAAGACTAACTTATTTTTGCATCAATTTTTTCAATTTAATTTGGTAGAATGTGTTATATATGTGATCTGATTGTAGGGGCGAAACAGCTGGAGGATGCTTTATGGCATGGATATCAATGCAGAAAAAGGTGCTGTGCTTGTTGCTGATAACTTTGGTTTTCTGTACTTGTAAGTACTGTTTTTGTTTATCTTATGTTCTTAACTAAGAGAAAGAGATGTACAATCGCATAATAAAGAGAAAGCAACTAATGAACTGTTTAGTTCGTTGGTACAGCGATCCATCGTTTAACATGTGTTTCCATTCTTTCCCTATCCTCTGTCTGAAGTTGTAGTTTTTGGTCCAGCAATCATAATAGTTATATTCGTTCCATAGATCATTTGGTAAGATATGCGGTGCTTCCTTTGCTTTCTTCTGGGGGTTGGTTGATATATTGTTTGGTTATTGATTTATTTTATTGTTAGGGTTGATACTCGCTCCAATGACCCAACTGGGAAGCCAATTTTGATCCATAAGAAAGGTAGCAAAGTTGTTGGACTCCACTGCAATCCTGTTCAACCAGACCTTCTCCTGAGTTGTGGAAATGATCACTTCGTAAGCTTTTTGATTGAATTAATTATTTGAATTATTTATGGACTGCTTGGTTGTCTGGCTTTCTCTTCAGCCTAAATACATGTGTTTCCTGTCTGTTTTCTCCCATATGGTAAAATATGTAAGACTTCAAGTGACATGGTTTCTACTCCTTAGGCTCGAATATGGGACATTCGTCGA